CAAGGTCATGGCAAGTCCTCAGTCTGTCACAGATACTCCCACACAGAGAGATCTATATCACCATAAGACTTTCTGTATGAAGTTCTAGATCCCCGATCAACTATCCATATCTAATGCTTTGGGGTATATCGTTAAAAATTAAATAAAGATTTAGGTTTTGTTCCCAGCACTTTCCCTAGCTTCCATGTGCAAGAACAAACAAGTAAGTTTCCAGCTGCAATTTTTCCAGCCATATGCAGAATAATTATTCCCTCAAAATTCTCTTTATCTTTATCCTTGTGGGTTTGAATACATCCTTGAGAAATCTGTCCTTATTCCACACTCATCAGAAGAGAGGACATAGCAGTTATAATTAACATACTTGAACCAAGTTTTCAGCCTTGCAGAGGTATTTACGCCACACCTAATAATTTATTGCTTTTCACTGATGCCACAACCGGCGTTCATTTCTAACTTCCACTTTCACAATGTAGTAGATCAGGAACAAATGACAGATATGCCAGATCAGTCAGAAGCGCTGTTGTAACTGCCAACAAATCCTTTGGCTGATTCAACCATTTCATAATCATCTTACATTTCAGTGCACCAAGTCTCAGCCAAAAAGCCTTCATATCCGCATCTCAGTCCCTACCACAAAAGAGCAAAATCTGAAGACCTGGAACTATAATGCTGTTATCAACAGTGATATAGAAAGCATCCAAATTCCTACTTCTGTGCTAATAGCCCCACTCTGAAGAGAAATAAAAGGCAATTTTGGGGGTTGCCAAATGAAGTAGCCCTCAAAATAGATGAAGTTTCTATTTATTCTACTGCTCGGGGAAAGTGTAAAGAATGGAAATCTACAATAAAATATACACATCCGTTCTTGCAGTTTTCAAAGCTCTCTAGACATATCAGTAAACACTCATAGTCAATTCTGTAAGAATCTATACGGATTTAAAAAGCTGCATGAACTCTAAATATTCATCCATTTGGAAGATATTTCTGATGTTGTTTTGTCACAGTTTCCTCTAAGTAAAGATTTAAAACAGGACATTGAAGAATGGAACATTTTGTATTTAAGACATTTCTCACAGAAAGATCTACTAATACCTCTCCTCAATATTAACATCCTCCTGAGAAGCATTGTCTACTCCAAGGAAAGCTGAATTACTTCCTCAGTAGCTTTTATTAGGCAGTACATTCAAGTTACAGGTTGTAACCTGCTCAACTCTGAACACATCCAGAATATCTGCATCTATACGTGAATAACTATAAAAACAAGTCCTAGGAGTATTAGTAATCCTGCCTCATAAAAATCACTTTTAAAGAGGTATATGTTGTGAAGGAGGCAATAAAGTGACCTACACAGTTGTATTGGGTTTGCAGTGCCTGACAGAAAGAATCTGAAGCCCAAGCCATACATCAATCTAAAAGACTGTATGATGTCAGTTTAATCCATGTTGTAAAGCCTTACCGTGCTTCTGAAATTCCTTGCCACTCCTACTGGAGCTGCAGTTCCACCATCGCTGCCTTCTGTAGCCCGATGAAATACGAGCCACACGTAGACACGTGCAATTTATCTGCTATTTTGTGACCACTGCCTAAAGGAATGTGACTTCAAATTTCAGGGTCTCGTGGCTGCCAGGGCAGTTTATCCTGCTCATGTTAAGGAAGGGGTGCTTGCCACTCTTAGAAATCTTGGTTTATTTGAGGAAGAAATTAAATGTGTGAATAAAGAGTGCTCTATTTCTCCTTAGCTGGTAAATACAGGATTTAACCTAATAAACACTTCTCTAGGGTAAGGACATCATCCTCTGTTGTTGTTTGGGGTTTTTTTTTAAATCCACAGGGTTTTTCTTCCCTTCTCTTTCTCACATATTCAAGATGAGAGAAGCTTCAGTGAGCACAGCTACCAGTATTCCAATTTATTCAGCAGCAACCCCTGTGGACTGCTAAAAGCAGACTGTGATTCTGCTTGGATTACAAGGTGTAGGTAAGTAATTCCATCCGTAATCTATCACTGTCAATGCCAGTACGGGAACAACTTTTACCTGTGAGAAGTCAGGCAAAGGAAAAGATTGAGACTGGGGTAAAAAAAAAAAAAAAAAAAAAAAATCGCTGGGCAAAACAACAGCAGAAATAGAGAAGACACAAGTCCCTTAGGAGCTCTGTGTGCAAGTGCATGCGGAGGTAAGTAGGAAATGAGGGAATGGGAAAAAGGACCGGGGTGCTAGTAAGAGAGTAGCAAACAGAAAGGAGATAGCCACATTCCAAGCAGAATTTTTCAATAGCAATGAAAACCTCACTTCCAACATAATCTATGCCTTCTATTACACTGATCCCAGTGTAAAAGAGTAGAGATGCTTGCAACTCCAATAAATGCTGATGGATACTACTACCTTACACCCACGATCAATAAATCTCAAGTACATCATAATGGAGCCTCAAAGCCTTTGCATACAGGCCTGTCAGTAAACTGGGACAATATTACAAATAGACAACAAAGGATAATGCAAAGATTGCAAAAACAGAACAACACAGACACAAATGAATTTCTCGGAGGATGGAGCAGAAGGCAGAAAAGATGAAAAAGGAGGTAAGCTATTTAGACATAAGTGATGGAGAACATCAATAACTGCACACCTGGTTTATGTGATGGAGGCTTCAGGAATGGAAAACAGTGAGAGCAATAATGAGACCTGGGATTAATTTTTCTTTTCCTTTTTAAAGGAACCCTTAGTAGTGACTCCATCACTATACTTTGCTATAGTCATCATCTACAGTTGTCTCTGCCCACTCAGGCTAGAGAAGTCCCTTTCATATTTTTATCACAGAAACAATGTTTTTTATGTGCATATAAAAGACTCCTTTGATTTCACTACAGGTACTTTTTTTTTATGTTATTTGCTTTTCCGGCTAGATGTCTGGCTGATATGTCACATAGTCCCAAACATATAAAATGGGTCATTCATGCTAGAAAACACCAAAAAAACTCTCTTCTAAGCAGGCACTACCTTGAGGTTAACTTGGAAACATTTATTTTCAACTAACTCTACTCTTGGAATGTCCAATCTTATAACCCAAATACAGATGCATTATTGATTACTGAAGGGCAATGAAGCTGGTGAAGGGTCTAGAACACAAGTCCTATGAGGAGCAGCTGAGGGAATTGGGGTTGTTTATCCTGGAGAACAGAAGGCTCAAGGGAGACCTTTTATTGCTCTATACCACTACCTGAAAGGTAGTGAGGTGGGTGTGGGTCTCTTCTTCCAAGTAAGAAGTTAGAGGACAAGAGGAAATGGCCTCAAGTAGTGCCAGAGGAGGTTTAGATTAGATATTTGGAAAAATTTCTTCACAGAAAGGGTTGTCAGGCATTGGAATTGGATGCCCAAGGAAGTGGTTGAGTCACCATCCCTGGAGGTATTTAAAAGACATGTAGCTGTGGCACTTAGGGACATGGCTTAGTGGTGGACTTGGCAGTGCTACATTTTCGATTGGACTCAATGACCTTAAAGGTCTTTACCAACCTAAACAACTCTGTAATACTCTTCTTTCCAAGATAACATACTGCTTTTCATAGTAAGCAAACTCTGCACTCCGTAAACAACTGGTAGTCAAGCAAAATTTATACCCTGAAAAAGTACTGCTTGTTATTAATTACATGCTTTCTAACGGCATAAGATCTTTCAAATAGATCAGAAGGAGGGGAAAAGCCGGGAAGTTTCACAGTCAGCTTTTTCAGCTCTAATCTAAACCCATTAAGTTTGACTTGGACTGCTTACGGAAGACATTAGATCAGTTTAAAGATTAAGAATAGGGTATAGAAATAGTCAAGGGAGTTCTCAGGAAAAAATATTTGAAAAAAAAAAAAAAAGAAAAACATGTAATTAAAGGAACCAACCCATTGGAGTGTGAAAGACTATAAAAATAACAAAGAAAAAGGAAAAAAAATTAACAAAATGCTGAAATACTAAGGAAGCAACTAAGAAATTGGTGAGCAAGAGAATTTGCTCTGGGCAATCAGTAATGTAGTCAAAAGCAAGGAAAAGTGTGAACTGGAGGAAAGGATGACTGATCAAATGTTGACAGAGGCTGAGAAGAAACGTCGCTCAACTTCCAGGTTGGACACACGGGCCTTATAAACTGGTTATTTTAAACACACTGAACCCAACCGACACTGTGAAATTCAGGGGATTTGCGGCCAATTTATGTACGAGCAGCCTCAGCGAAGAACAAAGCAGGGTGCAGCTCCGACTCCCGCTCCGGTTTGACTCCCAGCTCTAAGGCCTGAGGGAAAAGCGACCTAACGGACGGGGCTCCCGCCCTCTCCATCTGTGGGCTCCTCAGCCCGCCTAACGGTCGCCCGCCCGCCGCTAACGGCCGGCAGCTCGCGCCAGGTGCGCTCCACCCGTTAACCCCGCCCCCCCCTCCCCCGCGCGCATGCGCCGAGCAGCCCGCGCCGCGGCACGGGAGGGGCCAGAAACAGGAGCGCCCGGTGGCGCGCATGCGCAGGATGGGCACCCACTCCACCCTCCGCCAGTCAGGTGGGCGGGCGGGGACGCTGCAGCGGGGAAGGTCCCATTCCGTGGGATCATAGGCAAGAAACTGAGGCTTCTCTCCCGCACCCTCAGTTGTCATTTCCCTCCTTTGTGCTGCCGCGCCCCTATTACATAGCTCTTTGCCCGTAGCTTGATTGTTTTCTGCCCTGTCCCCAGTGGGTTAATTTCGGCTCCGTGGTACGGTCCCCTGTGTCCTACCCAATAACAAACCGGCTCCTGACGACGCACTTAGTTGCTGGGCAGAAACTACTCCGTTGCCACTCCCCCCGTAGCACCACGGCGCCACCGGCTGAGCGCGCCGCCCCGCCGCAGCGACCAGAAGGGGCGAGGTTTCGGGTTTGAATGACAGGACATTTGGCGGGCGGGAAAACAGAAGGGAGCCAATAAGAACTCCGGATAGCACTGATGAGCAGAGCTCACCGCCAACCGGACTGGGCGGGCGGTCCCCTCCCTCAGGAGGCGGGGCGCTCGGTTGCTAGGGCCGCGCTGTTGCTAGGGCCGGGGCAGAGCGCGGTGGCCCTCCCGGCCCGCCGCCGCCTTCCCCGGGCCGGGGCCATGGTGAAGCTCGCTGCCAAGTGCCTGCTGGCAGGTGAGTCCGGCCCCTCCGGTCCCATCCGCCCCGCTGGCTGTAAGGGCCTCGAGTGGGCTCCGTGGGGTGGGGTGAGGCCCGCGGCCGGGGCGGCGCTGGGACGCCCGGGCCCCCTCAGCGAGGGGGGAGCCCCGGGCGGGTGGTGGCCGGGCTTCTCTCGGCCCCTCGTTGAGGGGACGCCCCGATGGAGGAGAGGTGGGGAGCAAGGCGGCGGGAGAGAGGTGGGCATCTCAGGTCCCTCGGAACGAGAACGGTGGAAATCGTGTTTGTTGTTACCTACCCCGTATCCTCTCCCTTCTACGCCACGCGGAGAATAAAGAGCTGTGCTCAGGGCAGGTGTGAAGGGCAGTCGGATCAGCTGAAGTGCAAGGACAGGATCTGAAAAAAAGAAAGGAAAAAAAAAAAAAAAAACAAAACAAAACAAACGTATTTCTACAATGTGGAAAGGTGGGCTGAGAATGGGGAAGGTGTGAAGGGAGCAAGGTAGGCAGCCGAGCCCTGCCTGGTACGGGAGGCTCTCTTTGTGCTGGGGGAAAAATTCATGTCAGAAATTGTGATGATTCTGAGAGTGTGATGGGAAGGTAGAGCCTTAGCAAGGAGTAGAAGGATGAAACATGCACTTCATGGAGGCATCTTTTTCCCCAAGCAAACTGGAGGTTAACCTGAAAAAAAACTGTGGTGAAGACACTGTTCTGTTTAGTCAGGATGGATTATGGAGGTGCTGAAAGTAAGTACAGCTGACTGTTAACACTGTGGAAAGAAAACTTTTTTCCCCACGCTCTACATTGAAGCTCTCTGCAGCCTCAGCCAGATGCACAAATCCATAAAACCTTTGTATACAGACAACTCCCAGGTTTAACTCTTTGCTCCAAACCTTTTTTCTTTCATCCAGAATAAAATATTTGCCTTTTTTTTAGAACTCAGAAGCAGCTAACCATCAACTCACACAAAGCCAGGTGTGATATTTAGCAAATGCAAAAGAATTAATCTCCCTTCTGCCTCTGTTGATGGTTACTGTGGACAGCATGAGTATCTTGCTTGTCTTCTTGATTTGAAACTTACACATCATTTCCAATTTGGAAGTTTCCAGGTCCCAATACATAGTCATTCAAGCTTTGTTGTTTAGTATTACCAAAGGCAAATTCCGTGACCATTTTAAATTCACATAGGTTTTCTTTGGATGACCTAGTTATGTGCTTAATCCTAATTGGGTCTGGAGCTGCCTTTTCAATTCTGTTCACAACACAAACAACAGGAAGGTCCTGGCCCATATATAGATCTCCTAAGTGCTACAACAATATCCATATATTATTAAAAAAGAAAAAATTAGTGAAACAGACCAGGCAAAATAAATTCTGTCTTGCAGAAGAGACCAACCGAGTGAAAGATACATAAGAGATGGGTAACCACAACATCCTAAAGGGAATGAGAAAATGCAACTACATAGGAGCAAAAACATCAGAGATGGAACAGGGAACTCTTGTGTACCTGAGGAAGTGGCTTTGAAGAATAGAGTGGTTCACAGTATTGGGAGCTGCACCAAGGTCAAAGAGAACACCAGGGGAAAAGGGCTTTTATTAGCAAAAGAGAGACTATTAACTTGACAACAGAAAGCAATTCCTGTCTTCTCTCAAAGGTAATTTACAGACATACAGTAAAAATTATTGTTGTTTGAGCTTACTATGGAGACACTACGGAAAGGTTTTCGTTGTAAAAAACCAGTTGGCAGTAGCAGGCATTTTAGAGACACACTACAGATTCTGGCAGAATAACAGAAATATGGATGGAATAAATACTGTGGGATGCAGTACTAGCAGATGAGGCCAAACTAAATGAAAAGGGCAAGGAAACTTATTTTGAGAAACTGTAGTGATGTAACGGACTAAGAGGATGGAAAAGAATAAGAAGAGGGAAAGAACAACTGGGGCTGTCAAACTGAAGAAAGGCAACATCTTAGTTAAGAATTTGCACTGGATGATGCCTGCATAGTTTGGAGCAATGTATGCTTCTCTATCTCATTTTACAAAGACAGATCTAATCGTCTATTGAAATACAGAATAGCTTCCACTCAGAACAGAGTGTTGTCTTCAGCACAAGCTTGAACTGAGCAGGGAACAAACATGCTGACTTACCAGATTTTACTGTCTAAATATTATGAGCCCAACTCAGCTCAGAGTAAGCAAGCATGCTAAAAATGTTTTAACAAGAACTACATTTGGTTAATGTATCCAGGAGCAATTGTCACTATCCAAAACACCCTTCCTTCTCTATAATATTATGTGAGCAGATAGCTCTACCAATTGCCTTCAAAACTCCATCTAGGAAACTGTAATAGGGTCAAAATATACCCCTTTCTGGGTTTATTTATTAACAACAAAATGTAAAAGACCTGTATTCCAGGCTTGGCTGTCATAAGTGTTCCCTTAAGGGTAAAGCTAGAACCACTGAGGTATTTCCTGGTTCCTGTCCTTTTGAACTATCCCAGCTAGCGAGACAGTATGTGAAGAGTGGGTATGCCCTTTGGGAAGATTAAGTTAAGTCTTTGTTTTGCAAGGATTACGATATTTTTCATGGAGTGATAAGGACATATGTGAATTCTGCAGTTCTCTGCCATTGCTTTGCATCTTACAGAGTTTTGTAACAGCAGGCCAAAGCAGGCAGCTGCCAGGTTTGCCCGAAGTGTTGTGCAAGCTGTACCAGAAAGCCTTGGCTCTAGAAGAGCAAAGGATAAAGCCTCTTGGTTTTTCCTTCCATATAGGGATGAATCAGCAGGCTCTTTCTCTCCAGCCAAGTGACATTTGCTTCTGTTATGCCCAGGATGCAACTAATGAGCCACCAGCAGCATTGAGTCAGCAAGAGTTGCTCTCTTAGCAGGGTCAGCAAGAAGAGTTCATCGAGGAATGTTACCAGCTTAAGCAGCTTTGTAGTGTATAAATGACCTGTCTCTTCCCTAAACTCAGTATATAACAAGGATTTGAATCTGGCAAAATGGATAATCTAAGGAGAGGAAATAGCCTCCTATGCAGCCCAGTCCCCCTTATCACATTGTATTTTTCTCCACATGATAACTTATCTGGGAAATTTTAATTCTTAGGTAAAGGCTATAGGGTAGACATGAATTTTAGAACAAACAGCAGTTCCTTTACTGTTGTTCATAGAGCAGAAATCTGATATTAGTGCCAGTATGTATAATGGCAATATTCATTTCCTCACGTGTGTATTACCTTTTAGATTGTTTTGTGCTTCTTGGGACATTTATCTTGCCTGCATTTGGAGTTACAGCATCCAACCTCTTATGGCATGTGATAATAACAGAACTGAGAGAAAATAAGAATCTCTAAGACGAAACAAAAATCCTTTATGCTTTTGGCTTTGTAGGAGATCCAACTGTGGGGAAGAGTGCTTTAGCCCAGATGTTCCGCAATGATGGGGCTCATTTTCAGAAGAACTACACACTGGTAAGCATACAACAGGCTCAAACTGCTATCCAACATTTTGCGAAGTTGCATGAGAAAACTAAGAAGGTCTAGAACAAAATAAATACTATGATTTTAAGTTGAGTCATTCACGGTGGGGTCTCGTAGGGTTTTCTTTCTCTATCACCCTAGATTCTAAAGAGAAACCATTTAATATTCTGTAAGTCTTTACTCTATCTGAGTGCTGGTTTTGAAACTTAATGCAGAGTAATTTAGTTAATTTTGTAATTTTCCTGCTGAACCAATGTTTTCACAAGCGCTTGTGGTGTTAGAGAGCTTCCCCCTTTAGGGAGTGCGCTATGAAAAAGCATTGCTAAAGGAGAAAGCTTTTAATTCCAACTATTAAATGTGCATGTGGACAGTGCACTTATCACTATGCAAACATGAAGATGTGCTGCATAGCCCCAAGATAATTATAATCTACAGAAACTGTTCCGAGATGAAGAGGATACAGTTTGCAGTTTTTCAGTGTGAGAATCAATGATGATGACTAATCAGAAGCAGGATAAAAATAAAAGTAAATATAAGTAAAGTAAAAAAAGGAAAATATGAGTGTGGAGAAAAAAAACCTAAAATATGTTTATTCATTGAAATCAAGATGGAAACCAGAAGTTAATGATAGAAATAGAACAAGCAAGCTACGAAGCAGAATGAGATAAAAGGTGGAAGAGGCACAAATAACCTCAGTCCCATATGTTAGCTGATCACATGGTTGGTGCAAAACGTTCTAAGGTGTGCTTTAGACCAGCAACGTAATAGTGAGCGTAGCTCTGCAGATTTTAGCTAATCTTTTTGCTATATATAAGCAAATCTCTGGATGTTGGTTCTTCTCTGTCTTTTTCCCCCATCAGAGCAAATCTACTTGGCTTTGACATGTAGGTGGGAGTCTGTTACCAGAACTATGAGGAATTCCCAGCAGTCTACGTTTAATGGGATTGTAATGATTCACAAGAATTGCCTCGATCCAGTGCATAGCTGGTACACAGTCAGACAGACTCTTAAAAACTCTTCTGATCCTTGTTCTCCTGATTTTTCTTGACAGACAACGGGCATAGAACTGTTGGTGAAGGCTGTATCAGTTCCAGAGACAAGTGATAGTGTGGTGAGTTTTTCTGTGACATAAATTGGGTCAGAGAGAGACATCCAGAGCTCAAACCTGACTTCAGTCTCATTCTGGTGGAAGAATGCTCTGCATGTTCATAAGGCCATTAAGTTGCATTAAGGAAATGAGGCTGATCATGTACAATTGCTGATACTCCAGGGTTAGTTTAATCTTAAAAATGTAACTTTTGCATACTTGTATCCAACATGACATCTTAAACCAAAGCTATTGCCAGCTTTGTTAGGATTCTATTCTGTCCTTTAGGGCACTCAGGTTTAGTTCTCATGTTTCTTAGAACTACAGAAGCTGCCTGAACTTGCCTGTTATTTTTTCTTAATGCCCTATAGTCCCACTAGTGGAACGTGGACCACGTATAATTTTGTATAAATAGTTCAGGTTAGTGTCCTGCTCCACATATTCTGTTTCCAGTAGGAATGGAAACCAGACTTGGGGCCTTGGAGGTAACTCTTTTGTTGGTTACACATGAAAAATAGCTATTTCTTTTATCTTACTGTCTGAACTGGAGTATTCTTAGTTCATTCTCAAGTTCTTCAACGGAACTTTTTCCTTAGGGACATGACATTGCCGTACTGAACAAAATACAGGAGTTACAAGTTCCAGTATTTACTTTCAAAACCTTTCCTTACACTGCATTTTTCCTGGCAAGAGCCTTCTTTCTGCTTCCGCTTTCAGGAATTCTTCATTTTTGACTCTGCAGGAAAAGATCTATTTTCTGAAATGCTGGAGAAACTGGTAAGTCTTATGTAACAGTCCTCCTCTTCCGAAGAAGTGCTTTTGCTTTGAAGATCTGAACTCCTCGGCCTGGCTGATGTAGCAAACTTTGTCTTTAGTATAAATGGGAGCAATTACTTCAGTTGCCAATGCATCCTGTTCTACCTCTCTAAAACTTGTAAAAGTACTAGAAAAAATACTTTTCAGAGGCAGGAAGGCAGATAGTCATTCAGTTTTCTTACAAAAGAAATAGGGATGTTTAACTGAGAATCGCTGTGTGCTGTTGATTAAAGTTATTTTTATTTCTTAGGAAAACATCTATTTTGCTGCCACTCCAGCAGCGGGGGGTTTTTATGTTATAGCGATGTATTTGATTGAACAGGACTCATTCTTGTCCTTGAGCATAATACTGCCCTTGATTTTTTCCCTTCACACATTTGTGTCCTTACCTGCACAGTTCTCCATTGTGTTATCCCATTTTGAGACATAGGATCAATTAATTGATGTGAGGTTTCGTAAGATGGCTAAGTCAACCGAAGTTCATTGCTCTACAGGAGGCAATTCCACTTTTGCCCTTGCACTAGGTCTGGTCTGCAAGGCACCCCTCTAGAATCTGGCTCAGCTTCTCCAACTGGAAGAAAACCTTTCTACTTTTTTCTCTAGGATTAATTTTGTGCTGATTCAGCATGAAGAATCAGCTTCCCCAGAGATCAGGTGAGTGCCAGAGCCGATACAAGTAAAGGAGCAGGACCGTGCAGACAGGAATGGGGGAAGAGAACAAGACCACCTCTCCCAGTGCCAGCTATCCATTTAGTCAGCTCAACCAAAAAGTGAAACCTCAGGCAGGGCATAGGATTCCTGTATGTTAGGCTTTTTATTTTTGTCTTGGCACCTGTGTTTGCCGTGTTTACAGACTGGCTGTTGACCACATCAGTTTCATTAGAGCTGACAATGTTCCTTTCTTGCTGTGCAGTGGGAGCAGCCCAACGTCCTGTGCCTTGTATATGATGTCACTAATGAGCAATCTTTCAACAACTGTGCCAAGTGGTTGGAGAAGCTGAGAGCTCAAGCAGTTGGAGTGCACATCCCAGGTAAGAAATGGGTGAGATTCTCGTTATCTGCTCCCCTCTTGTATGACAGCAGTTGTTCCTGTTGAGATGTGGCATAGAGTATTTATTTTAAGCCGGAGCAAGCATGTCTTCCTCCAACTCATCTGCTTTTATCACAAAGCAGAAAGAGGGGTGAATATGTTTCCTTTGTGGAACCTTTTCTAGGTAGTTGTAGACTGTTCTCCACGCCTCCAACCTTTTCAGCTACTTCTACACATGTTCCAGCATTTATTGCTAACAAGTCAGCATTTCTGGTTTGTTGGTTTTCCTTTGTTTCATGTTTTTTTATATAGGTGTCTTAGTGGGGAATAAAACAGACCTGGTTGGTCGTCGAGTTGTGGAGCAGAAACAAGCACAGGAGTGGGCTGAGAAGCATGGCCTTGAATACTGTGAAATGTCAGTGGTGAGTATCTGCTCCTTTCACCATCTGTAGAAGTGGATGTTTGTAAGCTTATATTCTCTTTCAGGTAAAGAAAGATAACTGGGGGCGCTCTCTTACGCTTGTTTGTCATCTCACTCACCCTCAGTTTTAATCTGTCTTTTGTGAAGTAGTTAGAGCTGAAATAGTCAAATGCTTATTCCATCTCATTCAGAACTTTTTTATTTCTTTACAGAAGGAGATGAAAAATTTTGAGGCCCCTTTCCACATCCTGGCAAAGTCATTCCACCAACTGTACAAAGAGAAAGTGGAAACTTTTCACTCACTAGCCTGAGGGCCACGACTGGCATGACTTGTTTTTGCTATAAGCTTCTAGTGCCCAGAATCCTGCAGGATGGAATACAGAAAGAATAAAAAAGATGAGCTATTTACTTCTTCATGGTCATCTTCTGGTAATTCAAAACAAACTAGAAATAGGCAAGTGGAAAGACACTCTTCTGAAGTTGCTACCTCAGCATTCTTTTCATGTTCTCTGCTCGCTGAAAGTCTGCTAGGTTGGAGGAGGCGGGGAGTAAAAGGGGAGGGCAGAATGGAAATTGCCAGCTCTTTGCTTTGATATTGTCTTCTCTTTTGTCTGAACAGACTTCCTGCTGCTACAAGCAAGGATTTAGAGGTTTGGAGGAGGAGGGAGGAAGCTGGCAGGATGCTTTTCAGTTTAAGCAACGCAACCTTGATACATGTGTTGCAGGGCAGGACTGATTTGGCCCTGCTGCTTGAAAAGCATTTTCAGTAGGAGGCCTATGCCCCAAAATTAACACATGGAGACTGAGATACATAGGGACTGAGCTGGATTTAGGTGTGTTTTTAGGAGTGCTCAGAGTTTGAGGCCTGTTTTAACAGTGTTACCCTTATCAGTTGTAGGACTGATATGCTGATGACTAATATGTGTTTCTGACTTCTAGAATCTGGTTCTTTTCTTCAACGTGGCTCACATTGACTGCCTGGTAGGAACTGTTTTGCATCTGTACCGCTGTCATTGGTAATGCAGTGCCCTCTGCTGGTCCCAGGTCACAAGATTTCTCAAGGAGCTACCTCTCGAAGCGAGCAGGACTTCCTACAGGCACATCCAAACTGGCTTATCTGCAAAATGGGGTCAGATAGCAAGAATACCTCTTTTATTCTAAAGATGAGTCCAAAATTTAAAACAAATAATCTTTTCTTCTTTGTGTATTTGTAATCTTATGTGTTTTAGGGTAATTTTTCTTCTTGTCAGCTGAACTTGGCAATACCACGATCTCATTAGGTTCAGTTCTCAATCCCTTACTATAATCAGAGTCCTCTTTGTTGTTAAACTTTCCATGCTTGTCCTTGAATTTCATATTAAAGACCATGATTCTGATGTTGCTAGTGGAAACAGGACTAAGGAAATAAAAGACAACCTGGCTAAGTTACTCTGACTCAGCCATGTCTGGCTAGAAGTTTCATATCAGAAAGGGTAAAAGCCTAGAGAGAACTGCTCTGTTGTGTGGAGTACTGATGTTGCATGTGTAAGAGTCTATTTGCCAATGCAGTAAGTGAAAGTATCCGTGGTAAGGTACTGCCTTGTAACTGAGCCTAACACTGAAAAGTTCAAAACTGTAACCTTTCTCTTCTCCCAGATTACATTAGTCTCCCTTGGGCAAGGGAAGCTGAATTTTGTAGCAAGTAAACACCGAGTGGTTTTTCAGGCAGGCTTTTCAGGAATCTGTGTTTCAAGACTTTTATACGTGCGTTTTATAACCATTTTTATGCCCAGTACTAGGAAAAGTACATTGGATTGAACATAAGAAATATGGCTGCAGATGTTGTTGTAGAGTTTATGAAGCACTTCAAGAATCTGGAGAAGCAGCTGGGCTCATTTCACTGGCAACTGGGTGTTGATGCTGGGAATTAGCTAGGGAGCATGAATACCAGCTAAAGAGGTTAAGTAGGAGCTCAGCCCACAAGAAAAGAAAATGAATAGGTTCTTTTGCTAGAAGCCATTTCAAAAAATGGCAGAACCAGCTGGGAAAGCTCTTGCTTCCTCCAAAGAAGGAAGGACTCCTCCATGGGTTTAGGGTAACTAGAAGACTCGCTCTTTTTTGAATTGGATTGGCATTACTGGTATTTGTATCTTACATGGGTTGTCTTGTTAATCCTGGGGGGTGTCTGTTGATTTACAAGGGCTGAATGGAGTCTTGGCTGCAGGTGCTAGTACCTCTGACTATGAAGAATAAAAGTTATTTTGGATGCTGTGCTGATCTAGTTAAAGAACTAAAGAAGGTTTGTTTTGATTTGGTAGCTCATTTCCCCCTGGTTCTATTGATGATGTGATTACAACACAAGAGAGGTAATTTTTCATATTGAAAATAGCATGCCAGGTGTGTGTGCCACCTGTGACATGGTCTATAGTGGGGGATGAACACCTTGGGAATGGCTGATAAAATGAATCCTATGCAGTCTTTTAACCAGGGAGTTCAATCTCTCTGCACCAGAAGGACCTCCCATAACTTCAAATAAACGGTCTAAATGCACCAGAAAGATGAAGATTGGTGAATGCTGTTTTATTAAATGAATGCAAAAGCTGGAGGATCTCATTAAAGGAATGCTTGCAGTGGTGATTTGTGATTTATAGGGAAGCTGCTTTTGAGAGGTTAGTGAAGAAAAATGCATCCCATGCAGGGAAAGATATATTGCCTGAGAGAGGAAATGTATGATCTAATTAGCTAGCAGTAGGGATTCACCCACTGCCCCTTTCCCTCTTTCCACAGGCCATGACTAGAATTAGAAAAGAGTTTGTGTCTAAAGCACGTTGCCCAACTTGCTTTTTACAGAACTATTTCAAGCACTAATGTAGACACAATTTAATGTCCTTCAAAATGGTATGTTTGACAATAACCATCTGTCTTTCTAAATGCATTTTAAAAGCGTAATATATTGTCCTTCCTGGCTAATAGGCTATATAATACCAGCATGATGCAGGTGATGCTTGTTGCTATTTTCCTAGCTTATTTGTGACCTTGGTTGTGAAGGCTAGTAGTGAAGAGTGGGTAGAGAACATGGGAGCCAGACATGGGAAGGCTGTGGAAAATAGTTCTGTGTGTGTGTGAAGGAGCTTAGGGCAGTGAGTAGGTGATCTGGACAAGCAGGATGAGTAAGAATCTGAAGCCATTATTAAGTTTCTCTTCCTGTGTTCAGTAACTGTTGTGGTCACATCTGTAGGATGAGGATGCATGTTTACTGCTTATAGCCTTAGCATCACTCTGAATTACAAACACTGTGGAGAACAATGGGAGGAAGGCAGAAAGCCTGTCTGCTGACCAGGAAGCTTGTTGTCTACTTACAGTTCCCCTATTTTGTCCAGCTGTGCAGTGCTGCAGGTGCTCAGCATGGGTGTTTACAACCCAGAAGAGACCCAGCCCAACCAGAACTGAAATTTCCAAAGAAGGGGGAGAAAACAAATGGGCCTTTAACTGTTTTTAAGAGATTCATAGTATTTCTTTTTTCTGCTTGCTTGGTTGGTTAGACTAAAACATTCCTCCTTGGAGACCATACTTCTTACCTTTCCTTTTGTCTTCATGGTTCTGCTGCACAGAATCCCTGTTATATTTGTGCCCTGCTTTACTTAGCTTGATACATCTCCAGCTGATTTTTTTTTTATCTTCTAATTTCTGCATTATCTATTCCCAAGGCTGCAAGACGTTTCTTCTTAGAGAGATTAATAGATGAAAGAAAACAAAAGTGGAATTTTTAGTCAAGTTGTCTTGGAAGAAAGAACCTTAAGAAGCTGACTGACATTCTGAAATTTTACTGGAAATTCATTTGTGTAAAGTTGTCATATTAAAGATGTTGTAATGGTTTTGTTTTGTCTTGCCAGACATATTCTACTGTGGAATGAAATGCAGAAAGATCAGGTTTTCTTATGGGAGTTAATAGGAGTTTCAAAGGTGATCATACTGTGATAAGATCTGTTCAGTCTTAACAATGAAGTGGTCACTGCTGTTCATAATAAAGCATTAAATATACTGAAATGGGGCTGTCAGAACAGTTTCTTCTAGAGATTTGTTCATTTTAAAGACTTAAAACTTAAGAAAGGACATCTTTCAGAAAACTGATCTGATAAATGACACCATTTGGACCAGGGTTATTTCTGATATAACTTCAGTGACTTAAAGGCATGGATTTAGTCTTTTATGCCAATTGAGTCCCCTGTGTAAGCTTCATTTCTTTACCCACTATACATCTTGGACCGATCTGACCTGATAGCAAAAGACACATGATGTTGTTGAAAATGAAATAGTGCCTTGGGGCAGAAGGATAAACTGTGTGGCCTCCTGAGGTCCTCCCAGCAATACTTTCTCTAATTCTATTAGATTAAGTGAGGAAAGAAGTAGCATGGAAAGCACAAAACAGGCTAAGTCATAAACTAGCAATTAAACTGGGAGCTGGGCTGGGCTACAGCAGAAAACGTACAATCTATCCCAATTAAGAGCTGTATCTCAAGAGAAACCAGGAGCCTGACGCAGGTGCTGACAGCAGGGAAAACACTGCATTTCTGTTCTGTATGCAGCAACTGCTTTCTGCTGGTACTTACACAGATCCATGGGGGTCCATGCCCCACTCAAGACTGTGCTCCACTTTTCATAATTACTGCATCTATGATTTTCAGGTGACAACTGCTTGCAGTTGTTGTCTCATCCACCTGTATAAAGCCAGCAGTGTGATGGCAGATTATCTGCTAGTAGCAGGAAGATGTTCCTGTTCTTGGCACCTGCACGATGGGACCCCTCTCTGCCCATGCATTCTCAGTCCTTTTCCTACCTCATATCCACTTCTTAGCGGAGAATATCCATCTCTGCTTATTCCTAGCAAGTAATTTTTCATTCTTGCAGATGGTACTCCACAGAATCTGGGGCTAAGGGACTTCTAGGACCTTCTGCAGCAGAGGTGGAGTCTGAGCAGGAGCTCTTCAAGGGCCATGCTGGCCCCTGCAACGTCTCTGTTAGCCTAAGGGCACATCATCTCTCTGCTTCTCACATCCTATTTCCTCCTCCTGCTGTCATCTTGCCTTGAGAACAATGTCTTCTGTGCCAGTTGCCCTTGGCTCTGTTGACCCGGAACAACAATGCTTGGGGGAGGGAGAAAGAAGAGAGCTACTCGAGTCTTTTCAGGGCTCTTGAGCTGTTGTGACTCCCTGTTGAAGTCACCGGAGAGATGGGGGTATTTCTCAGTCTAGAGAGTGATTTCTCGGCTGGAGACCCCCAGCTGAATCCTGGCAGCCTCATCTTGGCTCTTCAGAGCTTGCTGCAGTGTAACTTTCACAGACACTGGCTGTCCGTGTTCTGATTTGGAGTTTTGTTTGGGTTTTTTTCACTCCTTGGGGGTCTATTTCTCATTCTTCTGTAACAGCTTCACATATTTCCTCCCCTAGAGCTGTTTGTCAAGAGAAGCCTGGAACTGCTCTCTTTTCTGGTCTCTGAGATCAAATCCAAATCTGGTAGTGTTTAAAAGGGAAATGTGACAGACCCTACATGTCAAGCTGGGGTCAGGGCTGGGGTCAGTTTGATGAGTTTCCCTCCAGCCAGATATACATCAACTGGAGAAATGTGGAGTCTGTAATCTTTTTGCACAAGTACTGGAAAAATACACGATGTGAGGACTTTGAGTTAGGGGCTGTGAGCAGAGTAGGTATATAGGCAGAACTGATCAGCTGCTGTGTCCCAAACAGGGGAAATGCAGGAGCAATAAGGGAATAGCAGTACGTAAAAAAGAGGGGGGTTTCTATCCCTTCTTCAAGAGCCCAAAGGATTTGCTGAGGCAGAGTGGGGGAGTGGAAATTAGGGTTGGAAAGACATAAGGCTTTTCCTGGCTTGTAGAATGATTTATGAAAATAAAGTGGGAGGAAAAGTAATTTTTGCATGAGACATTGGGGGAAAATGAGGATACAGAGTAGAGCTGAATGACACAGCAGGTGGGAGGGCAGGTAATAAGAATAAATAACTGAACAGAGGCTTTCAGGGCCAAAATTTTGGGACCAAGGTCGGTCTGGGAAATTCAGAGCCATGATGAGTAAGGTCAATGGTCGCCATCAGTTTAGGTTTCAGATGTAGGGCCTGCATTAGAACAAGGCAGGATGAGTTAAAGTCTGCATGACAGGGTTGACTCTGGGATTTGATAGGGCTATAGAGAGAATCCAGGATGATAAGCCTAGGAGTAGTGTGGAGAGGTAAGAACAACAAGCTGTGATGCTGTAAAGAGCAGTGGCTGGAGTCAGCATAGCCAGGTGAGACCAATAAAAATAGAGTAGGTAAGCTAAGGACACTGTCAGGGTGGAAGAGTGTGGAGAGATGTTGGAAATTCAAATTGAGTACAGTTCTTCCAAGGGGATTTCTGAGTGGAGGGAAACAGACGCCTTCAATTGTTACCCACACATCTTTGTATCATTTAAAACACAAATTAATTTCAGCACTATCTCTATTTTCTTTTGCCAGAAAGTGCAGTGATCTATTTGCTTAAGCCTTTTTTTCTTTTTCCCTTTCTGTGGGGGAGGGAACAGCACATAAACTTATGCCTAATTGTGCTGCAGCATCCTGAACGCATTATGTTCATCTGCTCACCCGACCAAGCAGAAGTTCCCACTACAACTTGAGCACTGACATCTTAGAACAAAAACTTCATGATCAGTTCATACAGTGGAAGACCTCCCCAGAATATCAATATTTAACTTCAAAAAATAGAAAAAATGCAATGTGCGTGAGATCAATGTAAAGCAGATAGAAATCACTCTGTTCATGAATAAAATTACCTACAATAAAAAATGCCTTCAGCTCTGCATGGGAGGAATCTCTTTTCTGTGTTGGTTTCCTTTCTGTGCTTTTGCTAATTTATTTTGATTCCTTTGAAGCGTCGCTTTCTCTTAGTCTAACAGTTGTGCATGGCCACTGTGTGCTGTTTCTAGGACTTTGTTTTGGTGATGTGGGGTGGCTTCAGTTTGGGGACTGTGAAACTGGAAGTTTTGGAATTCAGGTTGCAGTTGAAGCATCGGGCATAAAATCAGCTTGTAAGGACAGTAGAACAGAGTGTCTAGGAAAGACGTCTCACAGGGTTAAGATAATGCTTTTCAGTGCTGTTGTCAGCAGGGAGAGATCAGGCTGCAATGAATGAAAATGTTAGCTAGGGAAGGAAAGCTGGTGGGTTTGGAAGTGGGTACAAAGTGTGGGTTTCCTGTAACTGAGGGAAGTGCAGAGGAAAGGAGGCCGCAAGTCTCTGGATGCAGATGTCTGGGGGGGTAGTGGAGGAGGCAAAGGTGCATCGTTGGACAATGTCATGAGACTGGGTAAGGGCAGGAAGACAGTTCTGGTGTGAGCAAAAGCAGAGTAATGCAGACTCTGTCATCTAGTGTCTGCGCCTATTGAGAGCTGCAGATATTTCCCTTAAGTGGACTAAATCATTGCTCTTAATGCCTCTCCCAGCTAAGACTGCCAGGGGGATGGCTTTCCCTCTTCACCAAGACAGAAGTGATCAGTGGATGCCGTCTCGGTCCACAACTATTTTGATACCTGATTCCTCTATACTGTCCATGCCTCTTGCCTTTTTCCTCCTAACTACATGGAGGGCTTGTAACTATACATCCCCACAATTCTGCTTTACCTCCCATGCTAACAGCCCTCCCCGTTACCTTAAGACTGCTTAGATCCCCGCCATGTACTTTTCTTTCTGGGCTTATAAGCTGCTGTCAGAAAAAAACACCGGCCTTTCTACCCACTGCCACCCTCTCCAACCCCTCTCCTCTCCATCTGGTACTAGGGTAGAGCTTGTGCCTTGCTCAGCTGGCTAGTTCTGGCACAAAACTGGACTGGTATAGGAGCGAGAGAGCTGTGCCCATGGTGGATGTGTGCCTCTGTGTGGGTGAGGGGCATCTGAGGCAGGCACCCTTCCCTCCTTTTATCAGACTGCACTCATTTATTATACCATCTGTTTTCCCAGTGCCGGAGATGATGCTGGGGATATGTGACTTGGGGCACTCAGGCAGAAACTGGCCTGCACAAGGCCGGCCATGTGTTTGCCTCCTAGCAATGCAGCGGTCAGCAGCAAATTCTTTGCCGCCGCCTCCTCTCAGTATGGGAGAGAGCGAGCATGGGCCTGGGTGTGTAGGAGACACAAAGAGATGAACTGTGTGAAGCGGGGGGAAGAAGGGGAGAGAGGCGGGCTAGGGTACATGTGTGTATCAGCTGGAAAGAACTGCGGGAAGGAGGGACAGACAGACAGATGGGCAGAGTCGGGGGGAAGGAAAGAGGAATGGATTGTAGAGATGGACAGAAGGAAGAACTGAGTGGGGGGGAGACAAAGAAGCGGACTGGCTGGGGGATAGTGAGAGCAAGGCTGTGAAGGGAGGAAAGACAAGCAGATTTGGCAGGTGTGTGGTTGGGGATAGATGGATTGTCTGTGGGAGAGGTGTGTGTCAGCTAAGTACTACAGTAATAGGTAAGTGGATAACTACAGAGATGGAGATATTGGAGTGTGTGTGCGTGTGTGGATGTTTATACAGGCCTGTGTAAGGGGGAGCTGAATGAATGACAGTGAGGAAGAAGAGCCATAAGGAAAGAGGAGAGAGATAAAGCAGAGGAACAAAAGAGCAAGGCCAGGGCTGAACCGTGAGGAAAAGAGAGGCATGGGAAGGCAAGGCAGCCCTTGGAGTGTAAACAAGAACTGGGATCAGACAGAGGGGAGGGAGGGAGTTCATGAGAAGAAGGGACACTAACACCACTCGTGTCTGGGGCTGAGATTTTCTTATTGGGACCTGAGAGAGGATGCAGAGCAGAGATCAGAGCACAGTTCCCCAGTACTAAACAGAAGCAATTTTATGTATGCAGGGCTCACTGCCAGCACCCAGAGAGACCCAGTGGACCGGGGAGTGTAAATGCCACCGTGCTAGTGCAGACTGTTTCCTGCATGTGTACCTGAGCATTCGCAACCTGTGGATTGCCTATTTCCAGTGTATCTGCTTGACTGCTAGGAGCCATTTAAGACG